TGAGAGACAACTGGCCTAGGAAGAGCCACTCAGCTGATTCTGAAATGCTCCTGGTTAGAGATGGTAGCCTTTCTAATGGAACACAATTCTGGCTGAGGTTGATGAGAAATGATAAGAGTTGTGCTATGGACTGAACTATTTTCCCAAAATTCATGTTAAAGCCCTAACCTGCAATGTAGTTGTATTTTGAGATAGGGCTTTTAGGAGGTGATTAGATGAGGTCATAAGGGTGGCGCCGTGATCCAGTAGGATTAATGGTCTTATAAAAGGAAAACAGAGATCTCGCTCTCCAAATGCACTCACCAAGGAGAGACCATGTGAGCACATAAGGCAGCCGCCTGGTCTGCAAACCAGGAAGGCCCTCACCAAAACCCCACCCTTCTGGTACCCTGACCTCAGACTTGCAGGCTCCAGAACTGTGGAAAATAAATTTCTGTTGTTTAAATGGCCCAGTCTATGGTATATTGTGACAGTAGCCCGAGCCATCTACGACAGTTTTGTATTAAATCTGTGAGCTTCTTCCCTCCACCAAAAATTCACCTACAATTTCCAGGTGCCCACTAGCCTCTGCTTAGAAGACCAGAAGAGGAGCTGTGCATCCATGGTCTTCTCTCCAGAGAATGATCAGGAATAGCTCCAAGGAAGCCTTTAAGTACCCTCTCTCATTTTCTGTATAGTCAAAGAGTTTCCATATGATTTGTCCCAAATTCAAAATGTAGAAATGTAATTTTCAGTGAGAAAGATTACTTCCTTTTTTTTTTTTTTTTTTAGACAGAGTTTTGCTCTGTTGCCAGGCTGGAGTGCAGTAGCACAATCTTGGCTCACTGCAACCTCTGCCTCCCAGGTTCACGCAATTCCCCCGCCTCAGCCACCTGAGTAACTGGGACTACAGGCACCTGCTACACCTGACTAACTTTTTGTATTTTATTAGAGACAGAGTTTTACTATGTTGGTCAAGATGGTCTCGAACCCCTGACCTTGTGATCTGCCCACTTCAGCCTCCCAAAGTGCTGGGATTACAGGGGTGAGCCACTGCACCCCACCTACTTATTTATTTTTTTTATATGTCTCCCATGTTTTTTTAAAATAGATTAGGGGATACAAGTGTACTTCTGTTGCATGGACATATTGCACTGCATAGTGATGAGGTGTAACAATCACCTGAATACTATACATTCTACCCACTAGGTAATTTCTCATTCCTCACTCCCCTCCCACTTTCCCACCTTTTCCTCCCATTTCTGTCATTTCACTTTCTATGTTCATGTGTACACAGTATTTAGCTCCCAGTTACAAGCAAAAACGCGTGGTATTTGACTTTCTGAGTATTTCACTTAAGATAATGGCCTCTAGATCCATCCATATTGCTGCAAAAGATATGATTTCATTTTTTTATGGCTGAGTGGTATTTTATTGTGTGTATTTATATATGCACATACATACCTCACTTTATCCAGTCACCTGTTGATGGACATTTAGGTTGATCCATCTCTTTGCTATTGCGAATAGTGCTGCCATAAACATACAAGTGTGAGTATCCTGTTTGAATGATGATTTATTTTCTATTGGGTAGATATCCAGTCGGTAGTTCCATTTTCAGATGAGAAATCTCCATACTGTTTTCTATAGAAGTTGTACTAATTTACATTCCCACCCACAGCATATTACCATTCCCTTTTTTTCTGTATCCTCACCAACATCTGTTTTTCTTTGACTTTTTAATAATAGCTATTCTGACTGGTGTAAGATGATATCTCATTGTGGTTTTAATTTGCATTTATCTGATGATTAGTGATGTTGAGCATGTTGTCATATGCTTGTTGGCCACTTGTATATCTGAAAGAATGTATTTAAAGATCCAGCATTCTGGGTAATATTCTCTTTCTTAATTGGGTACTTGGTGACACCGGTGTATACACTTTGTAAAAATTGACCTATTCACTTGAGGGAGGTAAATGGGCGGCCATAGGGTGTGCGTATGCATATGTGCATGTGTATGTGTTAAATGTCAATAAAAAGGTTACTTCTTTTTAAATTCACTACCTTAAAATTAAAACCCAGAGCAAAGGAGCAATTTTCCCAGGGTCACACAGCTAGTTGGTAAATAAAGACAAGAGCCCAGATCTCCTAGCTCTTTAGTTAGCTCCTATATAAGAATCATATCCAAGAACAAGGTTCAATTTCAGCGTCTTTTGACCTGAACGTTGGTAGAAATTCCGTTGATTTCCTCAGAGCCCTACTCTGCATCTGAAGGTGGACATCATATTTGAAAGGCTGCTTCTCATTATTATTGAGGCCATGCATGCTCTCTCTAGCTGATGAGTGTGGCTGCCAAAGAAATCTACAGGTAGGCCATTCTCTGCCATTGATGCAGTGCTCTGGAAGGAGGCTCTGTGTGAAGCCCCTTTATGTTTGTGTTGGCCTTGTGCACTCTGAAAGGTGAGGCAGGTGCTGGCCAGGCTCACAGTGGTACCTGCCTTAGGACTTATAGGCAGCCCTTTGTCTGGACAAAGGTGAGAGACCAACAGTTACTGACTTAGCAACAGCTCCATCAGGGAGGCAAATGGAGAGAACACCACAGTGTAAATCTGAGGTCTCTCTTAATTATGCATATTTGGTTAATTGAGCAAGACTGTCATATCCCATGATGACGCTACTGACTTTGGAAAGCTCAAGCAGTCCAAGTGACATTTGACCGCCTAAGGCCTAGGAGCGAATGGTGGGATGAAACAAGACTGAGCCCTGCCCTCATCTCCCCGTCTATCAAAAAGCCCCTCAGACAACCCTCTGGGGTTGGTACTCAAGACCCTGAGCATCGAGGTCGGGCTCTTTGCATTCCCAGCCCTGCTGTCTGCCCCAGAGGATAGTGCTTAGTCCAGTTCAGCTGATGGTCTGTCTGTGCTCATGACTTCAGACCGCCACCCTCTGCGCCACAGGCCCACCTGAATTAGCCCGCGAGTGTTAGTGCTGCAGGCTGGCCCCGAAGAACCTCCTGATCCTGTCTCTGCAATATCTAAAATGTGATTGGAAAGACCACATAGACGAGATGTCCCATTCTAGCTCATAACCAAGCCATGGGGTGGTAGGGTTGGTCTCTCCCCATCGCGGGGGAGATCTCATCAGCCCTAGTAGACTCCTTACCTGTAACCCAGTTAAGTCCTGTCATAGGCGATCCTATGGGTAAAGCTCCTTAGAACTCCAAGGTAACCAAACTGCCTACATCTGTTTGCATCTTCTGCAGTCCAGGGATTTAAAAGTAGTGGCTTCTGGCAAGTCATGTCTGCACTGCTGGTTATCTCTGTAAATAGCAGCTGATAACTAGTTCTATTCCTCCAGGGGACCAACAGGTCCCTAAGGGGCTCTGCTTCACCCCAGTGAGGTTCAGGAGCCCAGATGGGTAAATTTCAGTTGTGCTGTTCATGTTCTGTGCTGATATGCCAGGAACCAGGAGTTGTCTTTGAGTTAACATTGTATGTGTGCCAGCCAGACTGGCCAGTATAATATCTTTTCAATTAGCAAATCTTCCAATAATAGTGTTTTAACAATGAAGTTCTAAAGAAAAAACTTGTTCTTAATTTTTATCCAAGGAGGGGAAAAAAAAGGAGACTTCTAATACTGGTATCATCATAAATTCTAATGTGGTGACCGTTTGGCTGTGTTCCAAAACTTGTAGCTAGTAATTAAAATAAAGATTTAAGTAAAGCTTTTATCAATAAAGTAAATGATAGGGCATATTCTTCTCAGCCAGAGTCAGAAATGGCAGCACACAGCCATATGCCGCATTGTCACACGGTGCAAGTCCTTAAAATTCCTCCTGGATTTGACGGTATTAACAAGTTCCTATCAACATTCTCTAAAGGCTTTTGATGTCATTTTATCTATTGAACAAAAATATGTGAACTATTACTTTGTTGATTTTGTTCTTAAACTAAACTGCATTATCATCTGAGAGTGTGTTCTTAAAGTATTATTAAAAGTACTTTGAAAACTTGTAAATCCCTGTAATTTATGTTTCCCCTGCCTCTGCTGTTTCATTCTCTCCTTCTGGTTTTAATTTGAATGTAGTCCTGTCTGGGTGTGTACCTGTAAAATGGTTTTTCCAAGTACAATTTACAGTTCTGACCTTAGGTTTACAGTGTTCCTAACCTTCTAGGAGCTTCCTCCTGTACCACGAAGTGGGCTTTGGGTCACCCAGCACTTCCATATGAGAACTGTCTAATCAGGGTTACTTGAAACAGATCTAATTTTGACATTTCTTAGTTTATCATGTGTGTCTAGGGAGTAAATTAAGAGCGCTTCTCTGCAAGCCCATTCATTGCATTGCCCTATTTCTTTAAGTGTACACAGTTGTAAACCTAGACTGCTTCAAGACAAGTCTCATTTGTCTAAACAGTTCTCCTTTAGACTCAGTGGACCTGATGGAAACAAAGATAAGAAGTATGGATTGGAGGAAGGGTCTTTTGGAGGCTATAACTTTTTCTGAAGCTGTTCCCATTTTCCTTAGAATTACCTTTTCTTTCTCGGACCTGCCTGCGTGCAGAATAGACCCGTCTGCGTTGAGTGTATTCAGTGAGCCAAGTTAAGGGAAGACTGCAGTGGGCAGGGCCTTTCTTTCTTGTGAGTGAGCTCTTTGCAGGTTTTAAGGAATATGACTACTCTGCTTTAAGGGGGCGTGGGGAGAGCTTTGTTAAAGCAGCGTGTGTTCCGAATCCATTTCATAGGCGTCCTTACTCCGTGGCAGCTACGCCTTTCATCATGGATTATAATGACTTTTAAATGCATGCAAAACTTCCAGGATCTTTTCCTTAAGTGGTGAAATGAGATTTTTTTTTTTTTTTCTGCTCTTTTCAAGTATCACTTAAACTCTGGTAAGGAGTTAGGAGTCTTTTTCTTTACACTCCTTTAGCACATTTTCCATGGTTCTAGCCGACACTGTGCAGCGGGTGAGGGACCAGCAGGGGCGTTTTTGGCAGCTGAGCTGACCTGCTCCTCCATTTCAGGTGATCGTGCAGTCCGGCCGCCACCCCACAGTGCTGCAGAAGCTCTGCCAGCTGCCCTTCCAGTATTTCAGTGACCCACGGCTGATCAAAGTCCTGTTCCCTTCACTTATCGCTGCTTGTCACAACAACCATCAGAACAAGATCATTCTGGAGCAAGAGATGAGCTGCGTTTTACTGGCCACTTTCATTCAGGTACCTTCTACATGATACCAAATTGTCTGGCGTTATGTGTAAACTAATGCAACAGAAATGTAAAAGTTAAGGCAGCCGTTGACTGTTGCCTTCCACACTACCTTTTAAAATCTTCACATATTTCTATGCTTAAAAATTAATTTCTAAAATATCAGCATAGTTTCTAAAATATTAGTGGAACTGCGATTGGGTGTTGTATAATTTCTACTTGGAGGATTTCAAGGAAAGGGTATTTTTCCAGTTAAATGAAATGGTAACCCATACTCAGGAAATGTTTTTAAAAGACTGCCAGACTTCTTTAAGGCTTTAACTATTGTACTTATCTTGCTTTTAGTCTAACTGTAGGAAACAGATAATAATTGCTGAAGAAAGATGCATTAAACCAATTTGTACATTTTTAAATAAATGACTTTTATATTTACGTATATGTGTAAAATAAAAACCTGTTATATTGCTGTTTTTTAATGTAAAACAACTTTTAAGTACAGCCTTATATTTTTCTGATCCAGTTAAATTCTGTAGGACTAGAATCAGAATTAGTGCCATAGCAAAGTACTATTTTCACATCTAAGTTAACACAGTCAACTGAAAAATCAAGTTGACTATGCTTTAACCTTTGCCACTAACTCATCCTGTGAATTTCTTTTTGTCATTGTAGAGCATTATTTGCTGAAAGTCTCCCATTCCTTTCAGACGTTCCACTATAAGATGTGTTTTTGCTCCATGACACACATGTGATTAGTACACAGTACTTTCTTGTCTTCAGAATAATGAAACAGAAAGCAGAGTTCTGGATTAGTATTATTCTGTATTCTGATGAAGACACATCTATCACTGTCGAAAGGGTATGACAGTGCCCAGCTGGCTGGGAACTAGAGGATAGCTAAGGAGTTCCCCAGGCCCTCTTCATCTTAGACGACAATTCAAAGTTTGCATTTTCCAGACTGTCCAGTATTAGATAATTAATAAACACAACTAGATCAGTTATGTTAGAAAAGTTTTGTTTTTGGCTTCATTGTTCTGTTTGAATCTATGTTTTATTTTCTGGAAAAAAAAAAAAAGCTAAATTAGATATTCAGGTCTACAAATAGGGATTTCAAAAACTGTCTTATAGTTAAATCTTAACATAATCTTATAGTATATAACTATCATTTCAACACTCAGGATTCTTCATATGCTTTTAGAGCTAAGGCTCAAAAATTTTAATTTAATCCTAAGGGATTAAATTAAATAGAAAATACATTATGGGCCAGGCGAGGTGGCTCACATCTGTAATCCCAGCACTTTGGGAGGCTGGGGCAGGCGGATCACTTGAGGTCAGGAGTTCAAAACCAGCCTGGCCAACATAGTGAAACCCTGTCTTTACTGAAAATAAAAAAACTAGCTGGCCGTGGTGGCAGGTGCCTGTAATCCCAGCTACTCGGGAGGCTGAGGCAGGAGAGTCTCTTGAATCCAGGAGGCAGAGTGAGTTGCAGTGAGCCGAGATTGCGTGACTGAACTCCAAGCTGGGTGACAGAGCAAGACTCCATAAAAAAAAAGGACGATGGGGCACAGTGGCTTACACATGTAATCCCAGCACTTTGGGAGGCTGAAGCAGGCAGATCATGAAGTCCAGAGTTTGAGACCAGCCTGGCCAATATGGTGAAACCCCATCTCCACTAAAAATACAAAAATTAGCTGAGTGTCGTGGCGGGCGCCTGTAGTCCTACCTACTTGTGAGGCTGAGGCAGAAGAATTGCTTGAACCCAGGAGGCAGAGGCTGCAGTGAGCCGAGATCGTTCCATTGCACTCCAGCCTGGGTGACAAGCGAGACTCCATCTCAAAAAAAAAAGAGAGAGAAGAAAATACAAATACATTCTGGATAATTTTAAGAGAGTGCTCTTTCTGAATGCAGATTATTCATTCTTTTATTCAACAGGTAATTTTTGAGTGTGTAACATGTGCTGGGCACTGCCCTAGGCACTGCAAATACAGCAACAAATAAAACATAAAAATTCCTGCATTCAAGGATCTTTCATTAAAGTGGGGGAGAGTCAAGCAGAAGACAAAAAAAATTAGTAAAACAAATAGTATGTAAGATGCTATGGCAAGGGCTATAGCAGTAAGTGCTGTGCAAAAAAAGTAAGGCAGGAAAAGGAGTTAGGGACTTCGAGGACGGGGCGTGCAGGTTTTTACGGTATGAGCAGAGAGGCCTCAACAGAGATAGTGATATTTAAGCAAAAACAATTTCACATCTGTACCAGCTTAGTTCCTTATGTTTTCAACTGCTTAGACAATGACTTATAATGATACAAATGATATCAGGATCTGAAGATATCAGATATATTCTTTTGTGCTTACTGATACTGATCACAAAGTATTAAGTCTGCCTTTCTCCATTACAAAAAAAAAAATGAAGAAATTTCATACATTGCTTATTTCAGATAGCATATTAGACTTGTGGAGTTAAATCAAGTTTTTTTTTTTTTTAATAAATGTGCTCAAGAGAATGAATATATATAGAATTTTAGTTTTTGGTTCCTCAAGGTCTCTATGTGTTACGTCCTAACTAAGTTACTAGAAAATGATATTAAAATAGGAGCTGATTGTCATAGGTTTCTGAAGATTTATATATTATGTGTTACATTTTTCATTTTCCATCTACAGGTAAAAATTACCAGACTTTAAGATTTAGCTGTAGAACACATAGGGCTTTTATATTTGTACTTTTTAAAAAATCATCAAAGTATGTTGATATTTTAAGATAGCAAATTTGGCTTAAATTTTAGTTTATTAGATATGAAGTTGTTATTTCCAAAGTAGGCAGCAAGCTGTCCCTTGGTGATAATTTAGCAAGATGTAAGGCATTACTATTGGGTTTAAATTTATGAGAACCTGGACTACGTAACATCAGTTTCTTCAGCTTTTATATTTGGGCTCCAAAATATTCATACAAAAGTGGTTGCCTGAATCACAAGTATATTTAAAGCCACCATTAGTGAAATTCTCTGTTCATAGCATTGACATAAAAACACTTTTCTCTTCTCATATAGGACTTTGCACAGACTCCAGGTCAAGCAGAAAACCAGCCTTACCAGCCCAAAAGTATGTCACTATTGAAATTAAATTTCATGTGTTTGTTAGCCAAACGGACATCTTTCTCATCCTTTCCTCTGGAACTGTTACATTATATGTACAATTTCCTACATAACCTAAAAATACTTGAGATTCAGATACCAAGTATATTTCAGTAAGTAAAAAAATCTATTTTGTCATGAAGCATGAATGCATCCAAATATGTACAGAAATCTATGGGAGTAAAAGAAAAGCACAAACATCTTTGTATAATTTATAATCATCTCATGCAAGATACAGTAAATGGTCAATACTCAGGAGATACTTTGTAATACAGGAGCCAGATCGTTAATATTGGCTTACGTTACTCACGTAAATGCTGAATTCACATAGGTTTGGTTCCTTATCCATGTTCAGAATAAAGTTCTTAGTAGCCCACAATTTCCCGCTAAGTTCAAGTGCTTGAATTTTTGTTTTGAAAATAATTGTTGTACATGGAGAAAAAGGTATCTAATTAGCAAAGTCCAGGGCAAAAGATTTACAAGTTTGGTTTTTTTTTTTTCCCTACAGCGTTCCTGCTGGGGTGTTTGCTGTGATTACAGTCAGAGATTTAGAATTTTTACACATTTTTCCTTTTTTAATATTTTGCTACCAAGACTGTAATTGAGAAGTACAAGTTGCTCTTGACTGTTACAACAGCATCTCTGATGAATGAGACCCTAATCCAGATCTTCTTAAATTCTTCAATTAGTGTGATAGTGTCCATTTAGAGGTATACTCCCAGCAGGACCCTTTAGGGCACCCACCAAGGACTTGGTGAGGTAGCGGGGGGTGTTTTGGACTCTGTCACACACACAAAAAACGTCCTCTACAGTGGACAGGTGTTGAAAAGTGCACAGAAGAAAATATAACTAAAGCTGTTACAATATCATGAAAAAAAAAAGACGTTTTATTGACTCAGGCACTCAGAAAAGTTAAACAGAAAGCTATGCAGCTTTTCAGAAATTCAAGTCTACATCCTTGTCGGTGCCATTTGTCTAAGCAAGAATCAGTCTGCAAGTTCAGGTCTGCCCTGACTCACTCACAGCCCTTTCTGTTCTGTTTTGTTTTTTTAAACTACTGGAGGATACTTGGGATAAATCAGCAAAATGTGTTGCTATTCTTATAAAACAATTTTACTTTGAAGAGATTACAATTAGAAATCCTTAGAAAAATCTATTGTATTAATTTTCAATTGTACAGCAGTTTTGCTTTGTTTGCCTCTAAGAAGTAGAAGCATTTTTTCTTACTCTTTCTCCTGATCACAAAGATGAGTCACGATTTGTTACCCTGTCTGGAAGACACAGTCCCAGAAGCTGCCTCTGTCTGCTTGGTGGGCTGAGGCCTGTGGAAATCTCAACCTTTTTTCTTTTCCAAAGCACGATCTTTTCCCTGACTTTCATCCTTTCCCCATTTACAGTAGGCTTAACCCACAGAACAGCAAATGGGGAATTGGTCTCTCCTTTGCTCAGAAAGGGTCATGACTATGTTAATGACAGCTCATAATAGGTTTGCTTCATTTTTTTTTATTTAAATGATGATGCCTCACTAAGTTACCACTTTGCACCTTGGATATTTGTTCCTCTTTTGCTTAGAGTAAGTCCCCATAAAATGTCTCAAGATATTTCTAGTTCATTGCCCAGGTACACCTTTAAGTATAAAAGCAGCTCTGCGGGGCGCGGTGGCTCACACCTGTAATCCCAGCACTTTGGGAGGCTGAGGTGGGTGGATCACGAGGTCAAGAGATCAAGACCATCCTGGTCAACATGGTGAAACCCCGTCTCTACTAAAAATGTAAAACATTAGCTGGGCATGGTGGCGCGTGCCTGTAATCCCAGCTACTCAGGAGGTTAAGGCAGGAGAATTGCCTGAACCCGGGAGGCGGAGGTTGCAGTGAGCCGAGACCGCACCATTGCACTCCAGCCTGGATAACAAGAGCGAAACTCCGTCAAAAAAAAAAAAAAAAAAGTATCTCTTGGTAATACCACATTCCTATTGCCCAGGAAGAATTTTGGTTTTCAAATATCTACTGCCCGTTTAGCTGCGATTGTTTGCTTTATCCGTGTCACTGGCCAGTAAAGCTCCTATTCATTCCTACTGCTTTGTTACACAGGCAGACTTGAACAATTCTAAAGACAAACTACATTTACCTTTTAAATTAAATAGACTATTTCAAAAAACAAATGTCATTTACATACAGATTTCCCCTTTCATAGCTAACTTAAGGACAGAATATGTGACTGTTTTTAATTTGTTCCACTATATATATATATATATATATATATATTTTTTTTTTTTTGGAGACAGGGTCTCACTATGTTGCCTGTCCTGGAGTGCAGTGGCTATTCACAGGTGTGATCATAGCATACTACAGCTTCTATCTCCTGGTCTCAAGCAGGCCCCCCCACTTCAAGCTTTCCAAATAGCAGGGAATACAGGCATGTACCACTGTGCCTGCCGGGTTGCTAATTTTTTTTCTTGTTGTAGAGTCCAAAAAATATCTTTTTTTTGTAATATTTTATATAGGGGTTAATGTTTAAATGTGTTGGAAGCACAAAGTGGATTCTGGTTAAAATATATGTCATATATTATATACTACAGAGAGACTGATACACATAGATCAATCACCTTATTTACCTAAAATGTGTCATAGTTTATTTGAAGTGGATATCTCCATTTTATACTCAGATATCAAAATAAGTTTAATTTCTGAATCTTCAAAGAATTTAACTCTCTTTTATTTACCTTTTCTCTCTCTTTTTTCCCCTCTCAGGGAATTGCCTTGGTTCCCAAGACTATCTTGAGCTGGCTAACAGATTTCCTCAGCAGGCCTGGGAAGAAGCTCGACAGTTTTTCTTGAAAAAAGAGAAAAAATAAATGTTTTGGTTGATTCTGTATTTGAGTACTCTTGTTAATATTTTAATTGTTCAAACAAACATTCTAACTCTTCCTTAAGAACTCATTTCCACATGTTTATGCTCTCCCTACACTGTAGATATGGCATGTACTTTACACTATTTATAATGACTGTAGATACTTGAATGTTCTACTTGCTAATTTTGCAAGTTGAGTTTATTTCATTTATGCAGAATATCTTGGAGTTTGTTAACTTCCATCTTACAATAATATATACTTTGCATTTGTAATATGGGTGAAAGTAGACAAAATTAGCAAGTCTGTTTTGTTCTTGTAATAAAATAACTTATTCTGTTTTCATTGTTGACTTTTCATGTTACAGAAATAAAATCTGAAAGAAAAATGTTAACTCCAGCTCTTGAAGTATCTTAAATAAAGACTTAAAAGTTTGCCTGCTCACTTTTTAAGGTCTACGGTAAAGATATTTACAACACTTTCACATTCTGAGTACATGATATGTTTGGGGGCGAGTTGAAATCAACTTAAGGCATTGTACTCTTTGGTCTGCCCCAACTCTCCTAGCAGGTAATCCTGAGAACCTCTCTTGGCATTGCCGAGCTGAAATTATTCTCCTAAGTAAAAATTAGTGATTAAAAAGTTGTGTCCTAGTGAATCTCAAATGGTTATGAAACGAAGCAAGGCGGAAGTCCAAGTCACACGGAAGGCCGCGATGGGGTGAACGGTTTCCCACACTCCTGTGCCCCATCGAGTGTCTGCCTGAAGGTGTTGCCCTTTTCACGTCTTGATCTCGTTTCTCCACCTTAAGCCGATGGTCAGTGCTAAGCCTTTCACTGAGTGACATCAGTAGTAATTTCTGTCAGATAACGATCAAACATTACCAAGAAAAAAGATACGGTTGGGGAAAAAAAGACCTCAAAATGTATTCGACTCGAGACTGCGGAGCGGGAATTTTCCAGTTTTACGTTTTTCAAAAGCAAACTTACCCACCTAGTGTTCCGGACCCTTCTTTTTGGAGCCTCACAGAGCTGCTGGGTTACGTATTTGCTCTGTTTTTACTTCTTTGCAAACCGAGAGCAATTAAAAGGTCTGATTTAAAAAAAAAAAAAAAAAAAAAACGAGCTCTCCGAGGGCGCGGGACCCTGGCGTCTCCCCGGCTCCGCCCGGCCGTGCCCCCACCCCGCGGGTCTCCGGCTCCGCGCTCCGGCTCCAAGGCGGGGACTGGCAGCTCCCTGCCAGAGGGACCTGCTCCAGGGCCACCCTCCCGCCTCGCGTGACGACTCGGCCGCCCGGCACCAGGGCGCGGGACCCAGGACTCCAGCCGCGGGCCGCGGGCGCTCAGAAACTCCCGGAGTTGAGCGCCGCGCCTGCGAGGCCGAGGGGTGGCCCCTGGCGCCCCCAACGCTCCTCCCTGGTGGGGCTGCAGTAGGCCCAGCGAGCGGCCCCGGGGGCGGAGGCAGGTGTCGGCCGCGGGCTCCTTCCACACCCGGGACCTGAGTTCCCGAAGCCTGCGGGCCCCGCGCTCTCGGGGCGTGGACTCAGGATCCTTGTAGCTGAAAGGAATCATCAAGTATTTATAAGATTTCCTGCAAGACGCTTCACAATAGAATATAGTTATCTTGGTCGGAAATTTGCCAAAGCCATAAATAATTAAGACAGCTGTGACTAACCTCCCAGAAACCATACCAGGATTAGCAATTAAACATTTAATTGAACCGTCTCATTGCCCCCTAGTCCCAGAGGGGAGGAGGAGTGAGAGGCAAACCCTGGCTCCACCCAGCCGGGAGCCTGCGCGACTCCCGCCCGGAGCGCCCCGTTGCCTCCCGGCGCACGCGGTTCCAGGGGGTCTCGAGTTCGCTGCTTTCGGGCGCCCAGGCCCGGCCCGGGCGATTTAAGCTCCAGCTCCCCGGGCTTTTACGGCTTCTAAATCTCCGGAGCTCGCGGGAGCGCCACGCCAGGTGCGCGGGGCGCGGCTGGGTGCAGCTCGGGGAGGCAGTGCCGCCGCAGGTAGCTTTCTCTCGAGGTTGGGTGGCCGCAGCGGAGCCCGCTGGGTGGAGGCGAAAGGCCTCTGCTGGGCCCAGCCTGCGAAGTCGACGGTGCGACTGGGCGTGTTCGGAGTGAAAGCTGTAACCGCCGGGCTTCACTGCCCAGAATTAAGAGTCGGATAGGACAGGCTGCCCGAGGCCCGGGAGCACGACCTTTGAACGCTCAGCGGCGTTGCCCAAGCCCATTCCCTCCAGCAGCGGCTGCTCCCTTCCCGCGGAGCGGCGTGGAGCGTGCCGCCTCGTTCGCGCAACCGGACGTCGGAGCCGCAGCTTCGGGACCCGCCGCTCTCCCGCCCTCCGGACGCCAGCAGTAGCTGAGCTGAGACCTCGAACCCTGAACCTGGCCCCGGGAGCCTCGGTCCGGACCGCGGCCTTCCTGAGTTATTTCTTCCAGGGCAATCTGCCACGCTCTGGAAAGTCTTGGGTCTCGATAATCTGTTTAAAAATTACTCCTCCTCACAATCCGCTATCCTTCCACTTCCCACTTCCTCGTCCCTCCTCCCTCCCTGCCTCCCCCCCACCCCCACCCCCACCCCGCTCGAACCTGGGGGTCTCCAGTCAGCTACACTCAAACCACACTTTAACTTAAATACGCTCTTTCCCAACGGGGAACCGGCCTTCCTGAGCTCCTGCCGGCCCCTGCGCTCATTCCTTGACCCACACCCGCGCTGGCTCCGACCTTCTGGACCAGGAGGTAGGTACCGAGGCGGAGAGCTGGGCTCACCCTGCACTCCCGCCTCTCTGGCAGGACTGTTGCTGGGGCCCCAAATGTACTTTATACATCGGGCCGCTCCCTACCCAACTCTACATCTGGATCCCAATGGAGTATTTCCTTGTGCCCTTTCCTGCTCTCATTACTATTCTCAAGCTATTTCTATTCATCTGCATCTTCAATGCACAATCTCCATCAACAAGGTGCTAGTCTGTAATTGGCCACACAATCCTCATAACTGCACTGAATCCCAGGATTTTCAAGAAAGTTTACTTTCACATCAATCAGACCCAGATTTAAAAGCCTCTAATCTTTCCCGCATCAGCTTAATAAACTCTGAATTTCCTGCTTTTATCACCACTCCACTGGGAACTTGCCTGCAAACAGTTATTCATCCATTGTTTCTCTCTCCAGCATGCTGCTATCCAACTGATTCTCTTGGTGTCTTTGGTGAACACCCAAGAGAAAGCACAGCTAACTAAATGTGTGGCCATCTATGTCCTCCCCGAGGCAGGAGAGGCAGAACCTCAAATTTTCTAGGGAATAATCTTAGACAATGTCCATTTAAACCCTGTATTTGCAGCTGTGACGAAACTGAGCTTTGTTATTCCATATTCAAAACAGAAAGCCTGATTTCTGTTCCACAATCCATTAAATATTAAAGTTTGTTGGAAATACTGCCGCAGGGACTGAATCTCCCAGAATTATGCAGTTTTTAAATATGTATTAAATTTGTGTAAAAATGCATAGCCATCAACTTTCCATCTCTGGGAATCCCTTTCCTGCCTCATTGCATAGAGCTCTCCAAATTAATAGTTAAATCTTCTGAGAAAATCGTATTCTAAAGTCAATCTAGCTACATAACTCCCTCTTTCCACCTATGGCCTCTTTTACTGAATTGAGTTTTTACTAAATTGAGTTTTTACTACACAACTGGGTATCTCACGTTAAAAGTTCAGTAAGCATAAAATACAACACTTGTAATTGTTACAGGTAATTTAATTTACAGGGAAATTCCTGCTGTATTGCAGAAGATGTTTAAAGATGACCTGGGAACCAGTAAAACTGATATTTATTAATGTAACTAACCAAGCGTGGATGTAACACCTCACTAGGGACCACTGTAATAAGGCTTCAGAGTTAAACCCTTTCCCTGGAAACCCACATAGAAAGTGATGCACCCCTTTGGGTGGGTGGCAACTGTGGGAGAGAAAAGCTTGCAATGTTTTATACAGTGATACAGAGAGACGCAGGAATCCTAACACACAATATCACTTTTATCTGGGTGACCTCCCAATATTCAAAAAAGACAGACATACTCATATAAATATCAAAAGGAGGAATTTGATTTTGGATGCACGGATGATAAGGAAAGAGATAGTTAGATGTTAAGAGACAACTAACGCAGACAGTTCCATTCATAGCATTAAAACGCTGCAATCTGTCAAAAGCAAAAATTCAGAGCGAATTAACCGTTAATGAAATTCTTTATTCAATAACCTTACTTCCTTTTTAGTTAAAAAGGAGAAAACTCAAATATTCTGGAAAAATCACAAGTTTTTGAAAGGAAGATTTATTGGAAGTTTTAGCCCCCTATCTAACGGCCAGCCAGAAGGTAAAAGGAGAAATCTGTATTTCTATTTGGGGAGGAATGGTCTAAGTTAAAGGAAGGAAGCCTCACAGAACCCAGACCTGATTATTAAAGCCATTTCTGGGCACTTGAGCGGTAAAGCTGGTCCTCATTAACCCTGCCTATCTCTTCCCTTATCTCTAAGTTTGCAGCACCATTTCCTAAATCTCAAAGAAAGGGAATGTTCCCTTTAATATTTGTGCCAGCATCACCTTGACTTTCAGGAAGTAAAATATAAATGCGGCTCCATTTTTCCACCTCCTCCCATTTTTTTTTTTTTCCAGTAATTGCCAGCAAGGCTTCCATCATCTGGAAGTAGGGGGGTGGGGGGAGTGTGAAGGAATTCTGCCACAAGCTCTGCTGAAAAACGCACAGTGGCCTCTGGCCATCCAAGCAGTCATGGCTAACAGAAGGCACCTACTTCTCCATCTAAAGACTCCAGGGCCTTCAGACACGTTTCTCTTGCCAGCCTCTACCTAAGATAAGATGGCAACTATCCCCTACCCAGTGAGGGCGTTGCCCACTTTCAAAACAAACCTTGGAGAAAGGAGGATACACTTGTGGGTCGCTTACCTCGAGGGACAAGGAACCGGCAAGTCACTGCCAGAGGTTCTTACACCAGCGGGGGACTAACTGGTAGTCGGGAAGCTCCGAGTCCACTAAGTGAAGGCTGGTCTAGGAAAAACAACTGTCCCAGGCTGCCAAAGGGTTAAATATTTGTGAAGAGTAAAACCTGAGCCTCCGTGGTTTTTTTTTTTTTCTTTTTTGGTTTTTTGTTTTTGTGGGTGCGCGTACTTGCCCCGGGGCCTACTGGAGATTCAGTGTCTCTCGGTTACTTCCTGCGATCACTAAAGCCAGTTTTCAAGAAAACAAGTCGCAGGGTTTGAAATGTCACACCAAGTGACCTGGGCACGGCGTATCCAGGGGCCATTCCCAGCCCCCTCCCACCCAGGCCACCCCCCATCCCCTACCCCCTCCACTTCGGTCTGGAAAGAAAATAAACCAAGGACACGCCAGACTGGTTCTGGGTGGACTTATTTTCCCGGCAGCCGCG